AGATGAACAGCCAAGAATCTGTCAACACTTATGGCCACAACAGTCAAGAATGAAGCGATAAAAAATGTTAATCCAATGACGTTCAACGCGGTGTCCGTAGAGGAAGCTGATGGATGGATCATCAATGCGATGTACAAGGGTTGAGCGAGTAAACCAACACCAAGATCCGAAACAACAAGACTCAGGAGCAATGTTTTTAAGGGCTTTGGCAATGACGAAGTTTTTCTCATGGCGTGAATTGTTAAAACGTTCAGCATGATGGCGGTGTAGGCTGTGAAGGCGTTGAACACACAATTAACGACGAACGTCGAGTAGAGCGGGTCAGTTCCATTCATTATACAGCTTGAACTTTGGAAAAAGAGCACTGAGCGATGTTACAGTAAAATATTCAAAACGTATCTAGAACTAGGACTGATGAATACGAGTTCTAAACTATCAGCTGTTTTCATATAAATTTAAATATCAGTTCAAAACAAGTGACCTTTTGACATTCCTGTGTAAATTAATGACTCGGTTTTCGTTGCTCGCATCACTTTTGCCTGGAAAACGGAGATACGTGATAAGAAATAACTAATACTTAACCTCAGATATATTAACGACGTTAAAGTGTAAAAATCGATAATTTTATTTTGCGCTTTCCATAAAAATCCAAGTTAAAAAGGTGTTGTCACGATTCTAGCTTTCCTTTTCTGATTTATGAAATCAGCGTCCCTAAGTTCGCTTTTCCCTGAAGCAGAAAACGAGTTTTGAGTAGTTGCATTTCTCGTTTTCCATAAAAATGAAAGTTGGAAAGAATGCGTTGAATTTTAATTCAATTTGCATAACAACGAAAGCTGGGAATCAAAATCTCTATTGCATTTTCGAAATGATCCTTGTAAGTTCGCTTTCCGAAAGTGTAAATTACATTTGAGATGTATCATTTAAAACTGAAGTCGATTTTCGAACCTGATAAACAACTTAGAAGAAAAGCGTTACTAGAAAACAGACGGCTTTTCTGGCTGAACATCTCGGATGGTAAAATGTTTTATCATAATATAAATTAACCATTTGTCAATAACAAACTATTTGCTCTAAAAGCAGTACGTGATCAATAAAGTTCCTTGTCCTTTAATTAAGCTTTCACTTGTTGTCATATTGCTGTCACAGCCTCAGTTGTCTGGGATCTGTCCATTTGGAAATTGGCTATTTTGGATAGAAGAAATGGTTAATTAGCTCATACGAGTTAGCATGAGACCTTGAGACCGTAAGAGCTAGTCCTTATGACTTAGTCAGGCTAAAAAAACCCTGTTGTTTTCAGTGGATGTAAAGAGCAAACGTCAGCAAATATCGAGCAAAATTTAAATTATATCATATTTCATATCTACTTAAGGGATGAAAAAGAGAAAAAAAAGTCGATTTTTCGGTTTCACACTTAGAACTTTAAAACTTGATATTCAGACGCTCTTTTCAGTATTTTCCCTTTCGTATTTTCCGTTTTTGTGTTAAAAGATCACTTGTTTTGAGCTGTCATTTATGTTTACGTAAAAGCATGTTCTTTTTTAGTTTTCGTATTCAC